AATTATAAGTTCATACACAGGACCTACTTCACCCCGTTACGTTTAAGCAAGATGTTTCCTAACTCATCCTCAAGATGCCATCGCTGTAAAACATGTATTGGATCAATTATGCAAATTTTTTTGCAATGTAAAAAATTAAAACACTTCTGGAAGACTGTACATGATTTGACTGTCAAAGTTGTGGAAACCCCACTGGACATTACACCAACACGCTATCTCCTAGGTACAGAACTGGACAAGACACTGCATCCCACATACAGGAAGAGGATCAACATAATATCCTACATTGCAAAGAAATGTATCCTATTGAACTGGAACCAGCAGAGGCCCCCATCATTTAATCTGTTCAAACAAATTCTGAATGAAACTTTAAGACTGGAACAACGATCATTCATTTTAAAAAAAATAAGGGGGACATATTCCTGAGGATTTGAGGACCGCTTATGGACCTCTGACACCACCTACTACGGCAAGGCAGGCTTGAACCTTGTCTACAAAACAGACCTATGAACTTTGACCATGGCTTGAACTGAAGCACTGTTTATTCATTTGACTAAGTTGTTTTGTAAACTGTCTCACTTTTTGCCATTGTAATTACTCATTATTTATTTACTTTATTTGTTTTTCGTTTTCTCCTGAATCCATTTGAATCTTTTCTCTTTTTGTTTTTGTTTTCCATTTTATGTTTGACCCCCCTCTGTTTTTTTCTATGTGTTTAAAAAATGTTGAAAAGCAAATAAAAAGACAATTGAAAAAAAAAAATATGACTGAGTCTTTTTCTATAACATGGTACACTGGTGGGTGCAGGATTTTACAGTCTTCTGATCTGATGTCTGGTCTTCATCTTGGTTTTCGATCAGATTGTAAAGTTGTGCAGAAGAACCTGCTTTATTTGCCAACAAAAGTAATAATTATTAAACACTGATGTCTGGCATTAATCTTAGTTTTCTATCAAATTGTGAAGTNGTTTGGGCCTCGGTAGCCGTCAACACATGTCCTGCTCAGGCTATTCTTAAACCACATCAGGATGAAATATGACTGAGTCTTATCAGGCTATAAAATTAATCTGACAAAATCAAACACCCTATTAATAAACTCTGTGGTCTCGGATGAACTCAGGAACATCTCGCCTTTCACATGGGCTCAAAACGGCTTCAAATACCTAGGGGTAAATGTGTCTTCAAAACTTAAAGATCTTTACAATTTAAATTACGTCCCTTTAATCAACAAGATAAAGGAAGAATTAGAACACTGGAAAGTGCTCCCCATTTCACTTCTCGGACGTATTAATGTAATTAAAATGAACGTGTTGCCGCGTTTTAGCTATTTGTTTCAGTCACTCTCCTGTTATTTGGATAGGGTATTCTTTAAATCTATTAATAAAATATTGACCTCCTTCATCTAGAAGAATTCTTCACCTAGAATAGCCTTTAAAACTCTGACAAAACCCAGAGAGAAAGGAGGGTTGGCACTACCAGATTTACAGATGTACTATTTGGCAGCCCAGACAAAAGGCCTGAATAGTTGGGTGCAGAAACGCAAAAATGCCCACTGGATTGATATAGAGGAGGAACTTTGCAATCCCATTTCTATAATGTCACTACCATTCATTAACAATATAAATGCACTACAACATGTGACAAGGACCTATGTAATCTACAACACTCTCCGGGCCTGGCAAGACGCAAAGAAGTTTTGTGAATTGTCTTACAAAGTATCCAGGCTTGCCCCATGAGCCTCCAATCCTGATCTGCCACCATCAATTGGTAAATCCTTGTTCAATAAATGGAAGGAGAATGGTATTCATCAGTTTCAGCAGTTATTCGCTGGGGACACACTCAAATCCTTTACAGACTTAAGATCAGAATATGGTATTCCAAAACAGGATTTTTACTAATACTTACAAATTCGCCATCTAATCAATGCCCTAAAAGGGGAAGGACACCTGGCCATGGGACTAACAAACCTAGAGGAGATTTTGGTGAAAACCACATCACTTAAGGGAAAAATTTCTACAATTTATAATGTTTTCTTAGAACATCACAGCTCCTCCTTCACCCCACTTAAGAATATATGGCAGAAGGATTTGAGAAGTGACTTAGGTGAGGGACAGTGGGATATGTCAGAATGTCTTTACATCATTGTCTTGTAATAAAGTTATCAAACAGAATTATAAGTTCATACACAGGACCTACTTCACCCCGTTACGTTTAAGCAAGATGTTTCCTAACTCATCCTCAAGATGCCATCGCTGTAAAACATG